AAAAAAAAAACTCACAGTCTGAGATCACGAAAGCTCCGAATGGAATGCAACGGTGAGCGAGGGTCATTTCTGTCTAACGATACGTCAATACCACTATTCTGCATGAGATCCACTTTTTTGTGCAGAAATTTGTTGAGCAAGGCAACTTCTTCTGGTTTCATTGCTACAAAAGAATAAGAAAAATGTTTGGTAACTTCAAAAAGAGGAGTGCGCCGAAAATAAAAAGAGAATAAAATTGATAACTAACGTTTTTCCATCACATCGTCGCCAATAATCGGTTTTGGAGCAATATATTTATACGGGTTGAGCTGAAAGCAGAAAACAGCACTGCTTGGGTTGGTAAGTTCACAAATTAAAACACAAAAACCCCTGTTACTTCCACTTACCCCAGCTGGATACTGTTGTTGGACATTTGCCTGACCCCTTCCGCGGTAGGAAGCTCCTGACAGCGCTAAAATAAAGGCATACAGATTGAAACTTGAAAAATATGAGACAGATTCACCTTGTCCTCGTCCATAAGAAGTGGGTGAAAGGACGCTTTTGGGATAGCCGAATCCACTGTTGATGCTTTGAGCGTTGGCGTATCCTATCATAGAGGAGACAATGAAAATAAAATTGAAGTGAGGCGGAGCGCACCGTGACCAAATTTTTCAAATAACAAATATAATGAAAACGGATTGAAAAAAAAAACTCGAACGCAGAACAAACAGTACATACCAGCCATTGAAGCACCAAATGTATGCTGTGGAGGTGGTGCTCCGTTGAAACTGGATATTGGCCCTTTGTACCCTATAGAAATCAACATAAGAGGAACTTGTTGAAAAGCGTAAGCTAGGATGAAAAATCGAACTCAGTCCGTGGTCGATTCATCGAACTTTTTCAATATGCACGTTGACGTGTAATTTTGTCGACTACTCTTATTGCTGTTATTATGTCACTTTTGGGAACACGCTTACACGAACCAGATCGATTCATGGATGTTCGTTCAATCAGTCAGTGCGATTGAAAACACCGAAATGAGAGAGAATCTGTCGGAAAAAGGGAATTCGTGTGGGGGTTGTTAGGCTTCTTTGAGTTCAAGAAGTTACCACATTCCCCCAACAACACTATTTCTGCAGTTGGTATTAAATCTGGGGCAATTTGTGGAATGAATCAGCACCAAGAACAACAAGCGTTCAAAAGAGATGCTTAATTAAAAAGGCTGGAATGTTTTAGCCCAATACCACTTCTTGTCATTGACGGAAACCTGTGTTTAGAATCTATATGGTTTTCTATATGGTTTTCATCAGGACTTTGAAGAAGCTGGGGATCCCTTATAATATACACCACTCCACGAAATCCCTTGGTCCGCTTTGAGCTTCTAGCAGCTATCATAAAGTTTCATAAATTTTGGAGTCACTCAGTAAGAGCATAAATCCATTATCACTTCACGAACAAGGCTGCATACCGCGGGGTTCCTGAATCAGCCAGATTCGTGGTATATTTCTTNAGCCAGATTCGTTGTATATTTCTTTGCGCCATGACAAACTCATCCTTCAACCAGTAAAACCACAAATCACGCCACCCTCCCCGGTTTCATACATCGAACTGTATACCGCGACCGGATGGAAAACAGAAATATGTCGACAACATGACCACGAGTGTCTCTAATCCCTCTTGTTCGCTCATCGATTGCGTGGAGTGGAATAGAAATTGTGAAAAGGACTTACCATGAATAGAAACGGAATTGCCTCCACCTCGGAACGCCATCGCGGCACCGCTCTGCAAAATCGGATTCAAGCAAGAGAATCATAAAAAACAGGAGACATGATTTTAGTCTCAAGATCAAACCACGATAACATAGATGAACTGCAATCGCTCAGTTGTTTCACAAGGTTATTGAAAAACTTTTTTTAGTGCATAGGAAACCTAGTTAACTTCTCACGACCGCATGAAATCTAAGAGGATTAACTTAACATCGATACTTAATAGTTAATAATTGGAACCTAGGGACCAGAAAAGGCAAACATCAGAAGAGAGCTCTAGATGGTTCCTAACTTTATAAAATATACGAATCTTCAAACTGAATTCCGTCCCCTTACGAGCAGGTAAACAAGGAACTTATAACCGTCTCAGATGGAAACTGTACAACCTAGATAAATAGATGTCTTTCGCGGTTGCGAAAAACAATTATATTTTGAGTAGCTCTCTGCAAAAATAGCAAGTGGAGCCTAAATTTGCAAAAGGAGGTTATCAACTGCCTTTATACAGCAACAACTTCAAGAGATTTTAAGTTTTCATGATGAATTGATTTCCGCAAGGAGACAGAGCGAAATCAGTTTGATAAGTGGGAAGGAACGGCGCAATCTGTAGCCGAAAGTAATATTCCCGTTTGGGAACAACGACAAACACAAACAACAGAAACAAAGAACATGTATGTGGATAAACTATGGGTACACATGGACTACGAGAGCTGGCACTAGCATTTCCCACTTGTCCTTCACCGGGTATTGTTTTTGAATGATATCAGTTCGACTCGAGCTGAATCCCATGTGAAGATTCTCATCATATTTGAATGAGCTTTCAAACAGGAGCTCGTCAGTTGAAGGGAAGGTTAGGTAAAGGAATGAACAACAATATTTTGAGAAAACGGTTCGTCGATTTCGTGAAGGGTTGAACTTTTTGAGTACCTTGATCAAAGGGAACGGGAATGATGTATGGACTGGAATGTAAAACGTATAGACGGCATTTCTGAGTTAGGCACCTATTTTTCAATAGAAAAAGAAAAGTGATAATTCTCAAATGTGAACTATTAGAATGGCAATAAAGTAATTGCCTATATATCAGGGAAATTGGATTACCTTTGTTTTATCAAGAAACCACATCTATTCGGCAACAAATTGGCCATAAAATGCCTGGTCTATTAAATAAATCACATCGAAAAACAGGTAGTTAACCTTTGAGACAATGTTTGAAGTGTTTAGAGTAACAACCAGTTACTTCGTTGATAACCTATTACAGTGCTGATTTATTTGAAGGTTGGCCTTTTATAGTAAACGCCCATGGAGCGGAAATGAAATTCATAAACATTCAGTCGGTTAGATTATTAAAAAATTAGATTGAAGCATGGGGAAACAAAGTATACTATGAAAAAATGTAATACCACTTCAAAAAGGTTTGTTGAGGGTGTCTCGAATTAAAATCCGACTTTTAAACCTCTAATGGAAGATAAAATTCGTTTTATCCTCATATATGTACAATATGAAAATGTTTTCAGCAAAAAAAAACTCACTGCAACCGTCTTTAGGGCTCCATTGTTCGAGTTAACAGACTATTAACACAGAACTCAAAACATTCGTATAGCAAATATTACTAAAATGTAAATTGGAGTTTGATTAGTGCCCAAATTCCTACCGTATGAAGGCATAAATGAACTAAACTGAAAAAGCGTTGTGACATGAATAAGGTCGTTTTGTCCGTGACCACCATCCTCGGACGAGCACGTGTTTTTCACGATCCTCTTCTTACCAGTAGTCAAAAGGTTGGCAACAAAGTAACCGCGTAATTTTTGAGTACATCAAACATTCATCTCAAAGGTTAACTACCTGTTTTTCAAAGTGATTTTTATTTATAGACCAGGTACCTGTGCGTTTTATGGTCAATGTATAATTGAAATAAAAATGCAAAGTGCAAATAGTAGTCGTTTTTGTCATAAAAAGTTAATTGTAGTTACCAAAAATATGCAAAGTACTTAGTTGCAAACCTAATAGAGGCCGTACGACTGGCAATATGACTGGGAACAAGATATTTCCCCACTAGGGTTTCTACTCGTCTTAAATATTCTATTGAAAACTACATTTGTAAGTGAAGCATAAAGAAAGTATGTTGGCTAAAAACAAATTTAAAGCAAAACTGGTTATTTTATAGAAAAATTGTTAAAGAATAATCACACAGAATCGATAAAATAAAGGTAAGAAAGGAAAATGGGAAGACGTTCGTCTGCAAAACTTCCCGACAAAACGTCCTTTGTCGTCGCCGTAGTCGCCTACGTAAGACGATTGGACGTGTCAACCTGGCCGGCTGTCTGGGTTTTCTCTTAGACGAAAATAGGACAATCTCGTCCGAAAATAATGACAATCGCTTTAGAATTTTTGAAAAAAACATCATCCATCAGATTCGATAAGCTAGCAAACTTGGCGAATGTGCAAATAACCCAGATTTTGTTATTTCGACATGGCTATTATAGATACTGTAAAAATGACGAAAAATTGCACACAGATAGTAAAAGTACACGTGTCATTCCGATGGAAATAACTCATAGACCAAACCTTTCCCTACTTGAAAAGCTTGTGGAATCATTTCTTTTTGATAGTTTCATGGAAAAGGAATCATGGAAAGTTGTGAAAGGTGCAAGTTTTGTTGTATCGACATGATTATTACAGCTATGATGGAATTTACGTAAATCTGCACAACGATTTCCTACTGTACACGTGTCATTCCAGCAGGAATAGCTCATGAACCATAAGATTCGTATTCCAACAGTTTGTAACTCTGCTGCGGATAGTTTTTCTGTTAAAGTAATTATGGAAAGGTGTGAAAAGTTCTTTTGACATAGTCATCATTAACTACAATGAGATCTCCGAAAAATTGCACATTAATTTACTACCGTACACGTTTCATCCCTACGGGAGTTGCTCATAAACGTCAAGATTCGCGTTTAAACAGTTCGTAAACTTTGTTAAGAAGGTTTTCCCAAAGAAAGGAATAATGGAAAGAAGCAAGTGATACAAATTTTGTTATTTCGACATAGTTATCACGGATGCAATGGGATTTACGAGAATTTGCACATCGATTTCCTACTGTACACGTGTCATTCCGACGGGAATAGCTCATAAACCAGAAAGTTCGGATTCAAACAGTTTGTAAACTCAATTTTGGAACTTTTTCCTGGAAAAGGGAAATATGGGAAGCGTTACGGTTCCCAGGTAACACCATAACGCGACCCAAAAGACAAATAACTATTACGAAACCGTGACAAAGAAATGCAGTGGAACGGTTTAACCTGGACGACCGAGTCCTGTTCGGGTTCTTCGGGAGAATTTTCGTACGATCGTATCGATTGACTCAAAGAAAGGTGTCAACTAGTATACGGGCTTGGGAGACTACCCAGAAAACCGGCTTCATTTTGAATCGTAAAATCGTCGGGAATCAAGGGAATCATACCTTCGGGATAGAATTCATCGTAACATTGTCCTTGACCTGTCCGTCCCAATCCGACATCGTTTCTTTGGGGTGAACGAAACTTCTTCAATACATCTGAAATCCTAGGAAAAATCAATCAATGCTGAAGAATAATGATCATGAACAGGTAAATGAGCATACCTGATCAGCCGACGGGATGGGTTTTTCGTCCGTCGACAAGAGCGGGAGCGGCCAGGCAAGAGGAGGAGGCGAAAGGGCGTAAGGGCGCCGTGTCTCGGTCAATAGACACCAGAGGATGGGTCGACGGACGGGCCCGGCTGTCGTCGCCGTACAACTGGGTTTATTCCTACGGGTAAACAACGCTCCAGAGGAATTCGTGGTATGTCAGCTAATAGGAAGATAAGGAACAGACCATTCGGCTGCACAACTTTCTTTCCAGTTCAATTCAAAAAAGGGGGTTCTAGTGTCTCAGGGAAAGCAAAGTTTGAAGCAATAGGGAAGGATGGTGGTCATGACAAACAAAATCGTCCCGTATCTCGGGCTGTGTGGGCTTCAATTGCCAGCGGCTTCAAGTGGGGGTCAGGCCACCTAGAACCCACCCACTGCCAAAGGTTACATAGACAGTTTGGAAGGTGGTTTGCAGGATGTCTACTACAGGTAGATTAAAGGTGGGTTGTAGTTCATGAGACCGCTCTGGATATCTACGGGCAATACTTGAACTGAGCTGAGGTCTGAAATGTCGTCCCATGAGGATGAGTTCCAAATATTTTCGAATTTCAGGCTCTGAGGAAGGCGACAACGGCGGAACGTTAGCCGAATAGAAGTTAAACCATCATGACCAACGCTTCAGAAGTGCTCCTACTACCTCGATCATGCCGAGATTCACGGAAAATCGAACATGGTCTCTTCTGCTGTTCGAAGCTGTCCTTCTCCAATATGATTGTAAAGGGGATTATTCGGACTTGCAAAAGGTTTGTAAGCTCCAGCATTTATTCCACTACTTTTACTTCCACGAGATCTCTCCTCTCACGGTCTCTGTTTGAGCTCATTCACAAGCGGGCTACTTCATTGTCGCGTTAGGATGATCGCGTTGAGTGATAGACCCAAAGTCAACAAAGTCAACGAGAAGTGAAAACATCCAAAATCAGCAGATCATTAACACAAGCTAGTTTTGGAAAATTGAGGGGTTCGTAGTTCATGAAGCAGTGTTTCTACGAGTCGTATCTGACTGCAGAAACAGCACCGGGCACGAATCGCAGACGCCATGACACCGTTCGAATTCAGATATTGTTGAAGAAACTTTTCATTAGGGAATGGGTTAGAAGAAAGAACTGTTTGGTTCAGGGATGCAGTTGTTTCGAAGGCTTTCCTGTATTTGAACCGGCATAAGCTACTTCCGATGACAGGGAGGTGCCAAAAGGTGTGTTGTTGCCCAAATGGCCCATACTCGTCTGCTTACGTCTGGGACCAGCGTAGACAACTACATGTAGTAATAGCCTATCTCAAAGGAAGGTGACCACATCTGATACGTAGACGAAGTTGCGAGCGATTGAGGACAAGCTTTCCNAACCCACCAAAAGAATGTATGAATGCTGAAGACAGGCTATCGATGTGTATGACTTTTGTATAAGCTATAGTTTCCTAAATTACTTCTATTTCAACGAAACACGTCTTTCTCACCGTCTTACTGCTGAAATTTCCGTCTCACTGTGCTGAGATTAATTGCATCTCTTCAGTATCACGTCGATAGGTCGAATCGTCTGTTAGGAAAAGGTGGGAGAGCTTGAGATGGAGGCAAACTTCAAAGAAAACCCTCGGGTCAATTGTGACTGTATTTCATACAATTGGACAATCATGCCTCAGCTGGATATTCCGCCATATTTTTTATTTTGTATTTTTTTATTACTTCGGATATGTGTAGGATTGGGCGCTTTCAAAGTATAGCGTTGGGCACTTGTAACGCAAGAGCGTCGGGCGTCGAGCACCGGCGATAGACGCTCTTCCGCCAACGGGTGGCGCTCGACGCTGTTGACGGTGTTGATCGATAATGCACGGGTCTGCAATGGATATTTCATTGATTGAGTCTATTAGCAATGCGTACTTCATTTCTACTCAAACATCTTTGGTATACGAATTTGTTTTTTTTTTTACTTTGACTGCTTTGCTGTGAAATGATTAAAATATACATTACTATGAAAGAGCTCTGAGCAGCCCTGCCTGGCAGATAAATGCTTAAATGCGAACGCAGTCAGCGGCGGCGCGGACGCGCGGCCTACGAGCGTCAATCGTCACCTGTTGGCGTTAGAGCGTCGAGCGCAAACGCTCGACTCTCGACGCCCTTCCTTCAATGGTGCTCGACATTCTACTCCGAAAGATATCATATACTGATCATCTGGAGCCGTTTCTTCAAAGGAAACCCTCAGGTCAATTGTGACTGTNTTTCATACGATTGGACCAAAAATAATGTCTCATTTGGATATTCTGCCATTTTTTTTATTGCTTCGGATATGTGTAAAGCCTGTATATGACCATTCTAACGAACTGCGAAATGTCTCGTACCTGGTTCTGGATTGTTTAGGTCATCTGCAGTTCGCATCAGAGGTATGGGGTACTCTTCATGTGCTTATCGTCTTACTCCAACATTCTCAAGGGTGAAATGGTGCAGGGCTATAGGCACTATCATCTTCTTTTTGGAATCCAATCCTGCCGACGTCAACCAAGTTTTTCTCCCCTTTAGAATTTATCAAACGGTATCCCTTTCGTACTGATTTGACGGGAGTATTGATGTGAATGTAAGCTGATCGCTCAGACTTGGTCTATGCCGAGCATACGTTCAAATGGCTCTTCATCGTAAACAAAAATTAAATGCTCGGCCTTGGACTAGATGGCACGCCAACATTTATCTTCCTGCCTTTTCATAAACATGTGGCCAAGAGTGATGGGAGAGCTTATGCCTTATCTTTTTGAATGTCAAACATCCCCAGGAGGTAATACATATGATCTCATTTTCTTGTTACAGTGAGCTACAAGTGTCCATTACTCAGTCGAAGGTGTTAGGCGATACTCCTAGTCGGCATT